CCAGCTTGCACGTGCGCACGTGAAGGGTGCCGCTTCAAGATCTCGAAAACGACCGGGCCGATTGCACTCAAATTTTACACACCTCTAGAGTGGTTAGTAGATTGTCCTGTTCGTCAGTTGGTAGCGCACCCACTCCGGTCTGCACGTGCCAGGCTCATCCTCTCGTTTGGCGGCGGGTAACCGCAGGTTGTTTCTTCATTAGACAAACACTATTCGTTAGAATTGTGTTTTCTATCGAAAAAAAAACAACCGGAGCAGTCCTTCACCGGGCTATGTTTTGCATGGTTGGCCGCAATCGAAATGTGTCTGTGATTGCTGTAGAAGACTAGACCAGGAAACAATCGGTGAGTGCTACCAAAACACAATAACCTCCGCCCGATTGGGGCGGGGGCGCTTGTAGCCACACCTATTAGTTTTTTTTTTTGCGTTTGTTAAGAAAATTACTACGCGCATTGTTATAAAGCTTTGTATGATAGATCAATTTCAGCGGCATGGTTGGACCTCTATGTAGGCACACACCTGACACCGGCTGCGGCAATTGCGCTTAAATCTTCATTCATGCGGCTACATACGGAAGAGGTGGCACTGCGGCGCAACATGCTATCAGGTGTTTGACACTTCTGCGTCATCTAGCGAGTAAAATAGAATGTTTGGCTAAAATGCCAGACGCATTTACCACACTCGATAATTGTCCTCAAAAGCTTCAGTTTTTTGCGAGTCATCAGTTCTAAGGAGATAGTGGTTCTCCCGGATCCCTCATTACTCCGCCATTCATTTAGGCGGTTATATACAATAGAGCCGGCATTGCGGCACAGCATACATTCAGGCGTTTGACGCTTCTGCCATCTAGCGAGTAAAAAGGAATGTAAGGTGTTTTCGGCTGATATACAGATCCGTTGAAGCATCAATATCAAACTTGATATTCGGCGCAAGTCAATGACCCTGATTCGAATGGTGACGTCGACGGCTACCGTGATGTCACCATTGCGTCAATATTGATTAACCCTCGCCGGCAGAGGGGCAGCACCCGCCTACTTCCCATAGGGGTTTTCGTGCTAGCTCGGGACACGCCGGCGACAAAGTGCTGAAACTTGGAAAACCTGACCTATGATTCAAGCCGGATCTTATGACACCGACCGCATTTTCTGGTTAGGTAAGGTCACTGACCTAATGTGCCACGATTGGGGTGCAACTGCACGTGCCCACGTACAGGGTGACGCTTCCAGATCTCGAGAACGGCCGGGCCTATTGTGCTCAGAGTTGGCACACTACTAGAGACCGCGTAGTAGGGTGCCTTGCACAGGTCAGCTAGGCCCCAGGCTGCACGTGCGCACGTGCAGGGTGACGCTTCCAGATCTCAGGAACGGCTGGGCCGATTGCATTCAAATTCGGCAAACCTTTAGAGACCGGTTAGTAGGGTGCTGTGCACAGGTCAGTTAGTATGTAGGTACATATATTCATGTGTCACGGTTGGGGTGCAACTGCACGTGCGCACGTGTAGGGGTCGCTTCCAGATCTTGGAAACGGCTGGGCCGATTGAGCTTAAATTCGGTACACCGCTAGAGACCGGCAACTAGGGTGCCGCGCACAAGTCAGTTTGGACCCAGCTTGCACGTGCGCACGTGAAGGGTGCCGCTTCAAGATCTCGAAAACGGCCGGGCCGATTGCACTCAAATTTGGCACACCGCTAGAGACCGGTTAGTAGAGTGCCGTGCACGTCAGCTCGTAACACACCCACACCGGTCTGCACGTGCAAGGCTCATCCTCTCGTTTGGCGGCGGGCGTTTTTGCGGCGTTACAGAGGTGCTTGCTCAAACAACCTGCGGTCCCGCGATGCGGAGCCCAGCATCGCAGATGCTGGTATGTTAACCGCAGGTTGTTTGAAAAGACAAACACTATTCGTTAGAATTGTGTTTTTCTATTGAAAAACAACCGGAGCGGTCCTTCTCCGGGCTATGTTTTGCAAGTGTGGCAGCGAATCGAGACATCTTGGTAGGGGCCTAGACGAATCGCTCAATCTTCGTAAAAAGTTCAGGATATGGGCTCCCGGGGGCGATCTACCTGATGGCACCGGTCGCTACTCGCTTAAAACCTCGTGGCACGTGGCACGTGCGATTCCATTTTCCCCATGTTAAGTCAACGGGGTTTTGGACACTTTTTGCGCGATCGCCAATGGCGGGAAAACGAGCCTAGGAAGAGGTGGTTTTCTTCCCAGCATTTTATGGCAAACACGTTTGGGTACACGCTAGTGTGCGTCGTATACCCCTCAAAACCTCGTAACGTGTCTTTGCACGAGGTCAAAGTTGAACTTTTTTCGCTCCCCATGTTAAGTCAATGGGCGTTTTTGCAGAGACTTTTTCTTTCGCTCATTGTACAAAATTATATGATACGATTTTGTTTAAACTTTCAGGACTTGTTGAGAAAAGACCATAGAACATGTTGTTATGCTTTGTTAAGCTGTCAGAATTCGTTTGTTCTTTTTGAGCTCGTTTAAAGAAGATTTTTTTTAACATGCAAAGTCAATGGGAGCGTCTTTGCTGCTTTATAACTTTTTACGTTAAAGATATGTTTAAGTCAAAAGTTGATATTTTATACAACTTTTGATGCTCTTTCCAATGATATATACAACTTTATTACACGTGGTGCCGTTTTTGAGAGATATAGTAAAAAAGCACGACATTACCGAGATTTGAGCTCAGACCTATGTCGTTACGGTGTCAGGCGGACACGAGGACAGGTGGCGCCGCCGCCGCCCGCATAGCGGCGGGAATGTGAACTAACCTGTTTACCATCTATGGTATGGTACCATCGGGGGACCGGCCGCCGTCGGTACCATTTCGGGACTTTGCATCGCAATAAAAGGCTTATTTACAATTGAAAATGGACTAGCGAGAGTCGTTATGGAATCAGAATTTGATGCTCTACAAAACTAGGCTATTTTCATTGTGATGGCATCACAGACTACACCGCTAACCCCAATAAAGCAGATTTATGTCGCGTCATCGATGATTACATATAATGTTTCTTTGATATATATGTAGTCGGGTCTTTCAGCTGCGTCCCTCCCCTCCCTCGCCGCGCCGGCGGGTCGGCCATCCGCGGCTTGCCGCCCGCCGGCTGCTGGCCGGTCAGCTGGCCGGTCAGCTGGTCGCCCGCGGCTGTCGGTGCAGTGCGGGATGCCTACTTGCGGGGGGCCGTTGTGGCGGCGGCCCGGGTGGACTGGGCGAGCAGTGAGTTGGGGAGCGCTGCGCTGTCGGTGCTCTAGTTTGTATTGCGTTCGCCTGATACGGCTTGAGCCAATACAGAGTGAACTGATTGAGCTGAGCAAGTCTTTATATACATTGAAAAGTAAAGCACTTTTTTACTGCATCTACGGTGAGATGCTAGATAAAATTTATGGTCTACCTAATGGTACCCATTACTTAACAATTAAGTGAATCATTTCGTCGCTAAACTCTCGTAAATTCGTATGTCCGCCTCACTATGGAGTTTGGACCGTAACGTATGGCCTTTGCTCAGACAGTATACGAACAGGTGACGGGGATACCTCCCATAGAAGGATGCGACACGATTTTACTGCTAAATAGCGGCCGGCCGCCGTGGGGACGTTTTTGTACGACTTATATCTCGGCAACCACTGGGCTGATACACGTGCGGTTTTTTGTGTGGGGTAGCTTTTTCCCTTCTTTCACATAGTGTGCTACTCTCGATGCATATGGGTGACCCCTAACGCACGTTCCACGTGCAAAGCCAAGAGGTGCCTGTTTTGTAATAAGCGCAATAGCTCGCGGTAATTACTGGGCCGATTGCGCTAAAACTTGGCATGGAGGTAGACACTTTCCAGGCGATGCATTTCCATGTGTCTTGGTAGGGGTGCAACTGCACGTGCGCACGTGCAGGGTGACGCTTCCAGATCTCGAGAACGGCTGGACCGATTGTGTTCAAATTTGGCATAACGCTTGATACCGATCAGTAGGTTGCAGTCATTTAGTATGCATTTCCATGTGCCACGATTGGGGTGCAACTGCACGTGCGCACGTGCAGGGTGACGCTTCCAGATCTCGAGAACGGCCGGGCCAATTGTGCTCAGATTTGGCACACCGCTAGAGATCGCGTAGTAGGGTGTCTTGCACAGGTCTGCTGGGCCCCAGGTTGCACGTGAGCACGTGCAGGGTGACGCTTCCAGATCTCAGGAACGGCTGGGCCGATTGCATTCAAATTCGGCACACCTTTAGAGACCGGTTAGTAGGGTGCTGTGCACAAGTCAGTTAGTATGTATACTCATGTGTCTCGGTTGGGGTGCAACTGCACGTGCGCACGTGTAGGGGTCGCTACCAGATCTTGAAAACGGCTGGGCCGATTGAGCTTAAATTCGGTACACCGCTAGAGACCGGCAACTAGGGTGCCGTCCACAAGTCATTTGGGACCCAGCTTGCACGTGCGCACGTGCAGGGTGAGGCTTTCAGATCTCAGAAACGGCTGGGCTGATTGCATTCAAATTCGGCACACCTTTAGCGGCGTTACAGAGGTGCTTGCTCAAACAACCTGCGGTCCCGCGATGCGGAGCCCAGCATCGCAGATGCTGGTATCAGCTGTTGGGAATTTGCCAATGTTTGGTGCAAAATAAATATGAATGAATGAATGAATTAGGAGTAAACATCTTCGGGTTGATTGTTTGAGCGGCCCAGCGACATGGCCTGTCCCGCCGGTTCACTCGAGTGTACCAGTCGGTAGCAAAAATATCCCATACCATTCTTGTTTTCTTGCCCTTACCCCTGGATATTGCTTGAAACGATGCTTGTAGACCTGACTTTCAAACGAGAAGGCCTTGTACATCAGCTTTGCATGAAATTTGTATACTAATTGATAAATTAAGTACACATAAATGATAAATGTGTCCTGCGATATTACATTTTTTGCTCCGACATATACTGAGCTTTACATGGCACGCCATATTCATATCGTTGCTTACAAGTAATTGCTTCACTGGGGGTACTTACAGCTCACAAGACGCAATCAGGGCCTTCCAGGCAGACCCGTGTCCAGCCCTCACGAAGTCGCCTTTCCTTGTGCGTACGCCTGACTGCCCTTCCCCGTCCAACCACCGTCTTAGTGACGTCACAAACGTCTGAGTGACGTCATCGGCCAGCCGACCAATCAGAGAAGGAGGGAGGTCGGCAGGGATTGAGGCAGTGTTTGGTTGTCATGGTTAACAGGTAAATAAGGTTATGGAAGGTGTCGGAATAATAATTAATCTCCATAATCATGGACTGTGTGTAAAAAGTTCTTTTTGCAGTTGTTCAATGCTCATTATTCGGTAGATACTAGATGTACATAATATTAGTGGCATATCAATGTGTGTCAAACAAAAGGTCCGACCGACGAGTTTTTTTTGTGCTTGTGCGAGGGACGTTGTTTATAAGCTATTCAATTTTAATTAACTTTGTTCGAAAAATATAAATGACCATAAGGATAAATTGATAAAAAAGAAAAATATAATATTTCGATCACAGTTCTTCTTAGGAATGTATAACAAAAGTTAGAATAAGAATACATGTCGCATTCGTAAATGTATTCCTATTCTGGCTTTTGCTATTCATTCCGACGAGTTTTTAAATGTGGTTTGAAATGTTCAGTGCCAGATAAATGTGTGTTCGGACTGCGCAGTATCGCGGAGGAGCAGAAGATCAGCCGAGCTCGCCGATACCTTTTAGTGGATCTCTCCTGGGGATTGTCAGAGCCTGTGCATTATATCGAGAGTATATAAGGCTTGGGTGGCTGCGCAATATAGGACCGGTCTGCCGACCCGGTATGTCTAGGTCGGTAGCCGGTGCCGACACGAAGGGGAAAGTGGCGGCTATTTTAATGTAATGAAGCTTGAACGTGTAATCTCTTTAGCACGATATGGAAGAAGAGAATTGGTACCGCAACGGTGCATAAGTAGCTCTTTTTGAAAATGCCATCACGGCCACACCACCCGACTCTTACAGAGTCCGTCTCGACCTTGTAAATCTTCGAGAATTAAAACATTGGTAATAGTTAGTTGGCAATTGAGCAGGGTGTAATCGAATGGCGGTAATGTTTCTTGAGTCTAGCCTTGAATCAAAATCACAAACAAAACGTCCCGACATGCCCAACGCCCATGGAGTATTAGATGCTTTCTTTGTTTGTATATACCGACAGTGGCATTGTTGCAAATTATTGCCACCTGACTGATGCCCTCTTACCGAATCTGATACATCTTTGGTTGTGGCCGACTGGGAAATGATAACGATCAAGATGTTGTTATCATCGAGGTAATAAAAAACAAAGATTGAGCCGAGGAACACATGTTTTGAATGGATCAATGACCTAAACACAGAGGCCAAATCATAACAACACAACAGAACGAGCAATGCCCTCCCAAGGGTCTGTATTCCACCGTAAAGAGCATGCAACATCCCTGTGCGGACTGTGACATCGCACCAAAGTGTTCCTATGGGAGGGAAAACTTGTGTTTGTCTTTATTTGACGGTCGTTAACCCTTGACATTGAAATCAGAACCGCCTTAATCTAGTTTTGTACGCTGAACCATAGTCGATTAATGTGTTTTCAGGTCCCTCGAGATATAAAGAAAGCTTCTGAATAGGACCGTTTAATACAGTGCTTAGACCTCTGTATACAGTGTTTATCAATGTCAGTGTTTTGTAACTTAGGTAGAGTACCTACGAATTATAAGTGCGTGATTTGACTGTTTATGCTTAAAAACAAAACTTTCCTAAAAACGTGCCGTACTTTATCTTGAATTCAGAAGCATACAGGCTAACAAAGACTATAACTATTTCTTTGTTTATTAAGACATTCCCCAAATTCCATGTTGACCTCTGTAAAACGCCTTCCCGTCAAGTGCGTACAGCACGTCAATTTTCCGCCATCACATATTCCACCCCCATGCCGTAACTCTGCGTCATCCTCCAACGGAAAGAGCCTATTTCCACCACGAAATGAGGTTAATGAGTTGGTGCTATCAGCTAAAAGGCGGTACCAAGTGGAGCAAGAACTACTTGTCTGGAAACGACTGTGTTTTATAGCTCTACTTGCGCGAATTTTCGCTGTGGTAGCCGTAGATGTGAGACTGATCAAGATTATCAAATAGATCGCATTCACGTTAAAACGCTGCGCATATGCGTGTGCTCGCTTTGTGAGTCTGGCTGATAGCTTTGAAGTAAGTGAGTTGGCTGTTGAATAATTGTCGATTACCTTGAAAGTAGGACGAGTCCGTCATTCGAAGTGCTTGAGTGTGGAGTGTTTTGGTTGAAAATGCGCGGTGAAGTGTTGGAAGCTTTTACTCAAAGGAAACGGCAAAAAAAGAAGAAGAAAAGAAATACATATTTTATAGGTGTTTGCGATATAGATGTGTAGGCGTTGATGCATAATTATCGTCTCATTTTATATGTTGCAAGTGTTAGAATCAGCGTTATAAGGGCACATGTAATGATGTAGAAAAGCAAATGGCGCATTATTTGAATTTAATTTTTGACTTGGGGATCTAGTGCAGGCTGGCCCTTGGGTTCATATAGCAAACTGAAATAATACAGAACAGTGGTACTTATACACAGGTAAACTAAAGAAAGAACGGTGTCAAAGCGTCCAAACTTCAGAAGGAATGGTGTCAAAACGTTCCGAATCATTTGCGCGTATTATGTTCATTGCAGACCAACCAAAGCAGCATACGTGGCATGAAATTTTGGGAAAATGCTCCGGAGGTAGGGGAAATGATACATGTAGGAGTACCTCGTTATAAAGATAAACTTTAAATCTCTCTTTGAATCTTTGAATCTGAACACCTTTGAATCTGTTCTTATTTGCAGTGCATATGGAGGAAAAACGTTTTTCATGTGAGCAGAGTGAAGGGAAAATTACAGTTTGTCTTTTATGAAATGCCTCATCGATGCGAAGAGATCGGTCAACTAGCCCCCACAATTCAAGTGATCGTGAGGTTTAACCTTATTAAGACATGTCACATCAGGCATTCGACAGCGCGTACTCTACAGTGCAGCATAACTTCAAAGGTGAGTCCAAGACAGGACCGGTCTCATATAACTCAAACCTGAGGTGTTCTGAGGTGCATGAGGTACTTCGTACTGTGCTAATCATGACACACACGTAACGTTTACTTATATATTATTTCTATACATTATTCAAATATGTCGGTGACCGAAAATGAGTGATAGTGGTAGGTCTCATGTCAACCGCACATTACGAACATTCTAGAAGGAAATCCGTTGTGCGCGCTCCGCACTGTTGCTAGCTCCAAAATTGATTCAAATGATGCGTGTGGGTGTAACATGGTACCAACAGGAAGTTATTCGCATGTTGCTGAACTGTAAAATTCCTGCAAATGGTCGAAGCAAATCCAGGTAACGGAAACTATTTTGCTCCTACTTTCAAGACTTGCGTGTTTTACATAATCAAGCTACTGCTTTAACCCTCGCCTGGCCAGGGGGGGGTCGATGCGACCCCCTAAGGTTTTTCGAAGATAGCGTAAAAACGGCGGCGCGCAGCGCCGCCAAATTTGGCACGCCTATGGGGCAACTTTTACATATGACCTGAAAATTTCAGGTCCGGGTGACTTGGGTCAGGTCACCAGGTCAGAAAAACCGGTACAAGGTCATGGTCAAATTTCAATTTTCTTTTTCCACCTGTCCAACTAACAGTTTTGCACTGATTTCCTTCAAACTTTCAGGATGTGCTAAGTTCACCGAGTTGTATAACATATAGTTCGGGTTTTTTGAGGTCACTGACCTGAGGTCAGTTAGAGGTCATTACGTCGTAATGTTAAGCCTATGGGAAAATACTAAATTCGGAAAATACTGGAGATATCCGCTTCGTTCTATCACTTTTGTGCTTTGAAACAACAGTACTTAACAGCAGGTCACTTGGTGCTTCTTTGTTTGGTGTACTTATCCATGGGTCAGGTCAAATGAGGTCAATTGAGGTCAAATGACGTTTTTGCCAATAACTTGGCACATAATGATGCTAGAGCTTAAAAAATGGTATCATTGTGTTCCTGGTGATCAGACGAATCGAATGATATGCGATATGATGCAATTTGGTTAACTTGAACTTAATTTATAAATTTAAGTTTACTTAAAATTTAAGAAAAACTTTAAGTACACTTAAGCAAGCTAAAAAGATACCATTTGACGCGCCTTGACGTGCTGAGTTCACTGGTGCTTTTCTTTTTGCTCTATTAATTAGATCAAAAGTTATAAGCGAAAAACTTTTGCCCTGTTTTCGCGAAATTTTACATTGATACCCCCCAAAACCCCCTAAATATTGACCTAGAGCAACGAAATTTGCAGGGGGCGAGAACTCCAGGGGGCCCACCTACCTACCAAATTTGGTGTTTCTAGGTGCCATAGGAGCCAATCGCGAGGGGGGGTCGCATCGACCCCCCCCCCCCTGCCAGGCCGTGTTATGGAAAATGCCCTGCCAGGGCGAGGGTTAAAGCCAGCGTATTTCAAGGAAAAGTGTAAAACGGCATCGTCGGATGATTTGTGATCCGAGTGACGTGCTAATTGTGACAAATTTGGAGCCCGCTTAGTTAATGCGAAAGTTAAGTATCGTGCCGGTTCGTTTTAAAATGTTGCTTTCTGGACAAAGTATGGATAATTTTCCTGCTCGAGGTCACGAGACGACTAATGTAATGTTGGGATATATGTAACTGTACTCTTTGTTCCAGCATGTAGGCACCGTAGCGTATAACTAAGGTTTTTTATTAGCACCATGCAAAATAAATCAGGCTGCAGTGTGCGTACTTAATGCTTTGATTATTGGTGTACTTGTTATTTCATGCAAACTATCTTTCAAACATCCGTCATCCCTCTATCACTGTTACAAATTAAAGAAAAATACGAATCTAAACAATACCCACATATGGAGTGAAAAAATGAAATATGCGTGCTAAGGTATCGTATTTTACAACCAATACAAATATATTCCTCTCATAACTTGTTACAACTCTCTCTCATGATATCCCTTTTGAAACACAACTGGTCATTCAGCCACACTGCTTTAGTGAGGCTGTTAG